ATACTGCGTGAGAGGGAGGGCTGCAGCGAGCTGTTGCGGTCATTGAGTCAGCAGCTGCTGCAGCTGCTGCAGGAACAGCAGCAGCAGCAGCAGGAGCAGCAACAGCAACAGCAGCAGCAGCAGCAGCAGCAGCAGGTTTTGCTGCAGTCATTGAGCACTCCTCTTCCCTCCACTCAAACGGCTTTGTGAAAATTGGGGTGTATGGTAGTTCTTGCTGCCCGCCGTCGATATACATGCTGCTGCTGCTGCTGCTGCTGCTGCTGCTGCTGCTGCTGCTGTTGCTGCTGCTGCTGCTGCTGCTGCTGGGTGTGGTATACGCTGCTTCTTCTGGTTGCTTCTCGCAGCTCTGCTGCTACTCTCCTCGCTAACATATCAACGCGGCCTCGGCACAGCAGCCAGTACTTCAGCCTCACCATACACTGCCGCCTGCATGTACACCCCACACCTGACAGTGCTGCAGCAGCAGCACCAGCAGCAGCAGCAGCAGCAGCTTTGTTCTCGTGCTGCTGCAGCGCGGAACAACACTTCCTTGCTTTCCTCCTGTTGCTGCTGCTGCTGTTGCTCTTGTTCTTGTTGCTGCTGCTGCGTTCGTCGCTGCTGTCATCGCTGCTGCTGCTGCTGCTGCTGCTGCTGCTGCTGTAGGGGCTTGAGAACTGTAGGTTAAAGTTGCTGCTGTCTGCTGCAGCAGCTTTGGTGTCTGCGTGTTCGTTTGCTTCTGCTGCTGCTGCTGTTGCTGCTGCTGCTGCTGCTTTTTTCCGCATGCAGCAGCAGCAGCAGCATTCATCTTCAAGCTGCTGCAGGGCCCCCCTACGCACCGCCTTGTCTATCCATTTGTGGTGTATAGACAGCTGCAGCAGCGAGCGGCAGCAGCAGCTGAGTGCAACCAGAGACTGCAGCGGCAGCAGCCGGCAGCAGAGCCACGTCAGCAGCCGGGGAGGAAGCATCCGCAGCAGCAGACTGTCTGCTGCAGCAAAAATGCCATCCCTGCTGCTGCTGCTGCTGCTGCTGTTGTTGTTGCTGCTGCTGCTGCTGCTATCAGCTAGTGCAGCAGCAGCTGCAGCAGCAGCTGCAGCAGCAGCTGCTGCAGCAGCCGTTGCTTCTGAATCGCCCTGCAGCACAACCCCCACCGCTCTGCCATCTTTCTCTGTTGCTACTGCTGCTGCTGCTGCTGTGGCTGCTGTAGCTGCTGCTGCTCCTGCTGCTGCTGCTGCCGGTGCTGCTGCTGCCGGTGCTGCTGCTGCTGCTGCTGCTGCTGCTGCTGAGTGGGTATCAATATGGCTGCAATTGCTTTGCGCTGGGGGAGAGAGAGGAGGAGACGAAGAAGAAGAGAGACAGCACGAGACAGAAGGAGACAGAGTTGAGGTGTATAGGCAGCTGCTGCTGCAGGACACCTCAGGAGACAAAGTCAACTCAGTTGCTGCTGCAGTTGCTGCTGCAGTTGCAGCAGCAGCAGCAGCAGCAGCGGCAGCAGCAGCAGCAGCATCGTCTGTACTGCGCATCAGGGGCTTGCTGCAGGCTTGCTGCTGCTGTAAGGAGACAGCAGCAGCAGCAGCAGCAGCAGCAGGTGTCTCCGCAGCTGTCTCCTTTCTTCCCCTTTCGTGCAGCCCCAAGAAGGAGACACGCCGCCTCTCACCGGGCCAGAATAAGACCTGCTGCTGCAGCAGTTGCTGCTGCTGCTGCTGCTGCTGCTGCTGCTGCAGTTGCTGCTGCTGCTGCTGCAGTTGCTGCTGCTGCTGCGCTGGTGGCAAGGGGAGCTGGANTGCTGCTGCAGTTGCTGCTGCTGCTGCTGCAGTTGCTGCTGCTGCTGCGCTGGTGGCAAGGGGAGCTGGAGTGTCTCCCTGGGGCTGCTGGGCTGCTGCTGCGGAGACAGCTGCGGCAGGCGCACGCTCTGCTGCTGCTGCATGCACCTCAGCAGCCCTGACGGAGCAAAGCCACCTTTTGCTGCTGCTGCTGCTGCGGCTGCTGCTGCTGCTGCTGCTGCTGCAGTTGCTGCTGCAGCTGGGGTACCTGCAGCAGAGAGAGAAGGCCGATACAAGTCTGCATCTTTTTGCTTCTGCTGCCACTGCTCGCCGCTCGTAGGCGACATTATACAACAACAGCAGCTGCTGTTGCTGCTGCTGCTGCTGCTGCTGCTGCTGCTGCTTATGCTGCTGCTGGTGCTATTTGGCTCTCCGGGGCGGGAGTTGGTGCTGTTGCTGCTGCTGCTGCTAGTACTGCTATTGCTGCTGCTGCTGTTGTTTCTGCTGCTGCTGGTGCAGGAGGAGGAGGAAGCGTTTGCTGCAGCCGCTGCTGCGTGCTGTCGGTAGTGCCTGTGCTGCAGTCGTTTTGCTGCTGCTGCTGTTGCTGCTGCTGCTGCTGCTTCTGCTGCCGTTGCTGCTGCTGCTGCTGCTGCTGTTGCTGCTGCTGTGGACCACTGGTCACTCACAGCTGCCCCGGGGGCCCCCGATAGCTGCTGCTGCTGCACGACTCTGAGCCGTTGCAGCTGCGTGTTAAGGCCCGTCCTTGCTGCAGCAGCAGCAGCAGCAGCAGCGGCAGCAGCAGCAGCAAACGACGGGAGAAGACGAGGGGTCTCCTGGGGTTGGCTTCGGAGACAGCTGGGGGGCCCCCGGGGCCTCGAGGGGTTGGGGGGCCCCTGAGAGAGATATATATAGAGAGAGAGAAAAACAAAGAAGAAAAAGGAGACAAAAGAGAGAGAAGTTGCGTTGCTGCAGCAGCAGAAGTTGAGGCCTCTAAAGAGCTGCAGCAGCCGAAGGCGCAGCAGCAGCTGCTGCAGCAGCTGCAGCAGCAGCAGCAGCTGCTGCTGCTGCTGCTGCCTTTTGGTGTTTTTTATAGAGACAGAATGAAGCTAATGCGACACAAAAAGACAACACGCAGCGCACATCTCTCTCAGCAGCAGCAGCAACTTTATAAGGGCCAGCCCGCAGCCAGCAGCTGCTGCTGCTGCTGCTGCTGCTGCTGCAGCGGCAGCGGCAGGCAGCCCTGAAGACCCCGTAGCCAGCC